ACCCATTGCCATTACATCGTAAATAACGCGACATTTAGTCGTCCTTGTATTACTTCAGGTCTGGCTTAGGAATTCTGGGAAACAAAGAACACCGGCAACGTCCAAACTATAAAAAAAAATATAAGAATTACGACCATTATCCCAACAGGGTGAAGATATCGTTTGAGGTTCTCGGAATTTGTAGTTTTGTCCACCCTTACCTTAAACATCACTTCAAATTAAGAAAATTAAATGAAATGAAAATGAAAATGAAAATTTTTCCTGAAGGGTCCATAAATTAAGCCAAAAACCATTCACAAACTTTATATAAAATCGCCATTTTCAAGATAAATTTCAAGCGGTGTTGCCAGAAAACTAAAAATTTCGAGAACCTAAAACAACAGCATCACTTCCGAACAGATTTATTGTGTCGAAATGTGTACACCATTCGGTATAAAAAGACTTAATAAGCATATTTATAGAACAGAAACCGAGAATGAAAACCGGCCTGAAACTTTAAACAACTATTTGGGGCATCTAATGGACATTACTGTGACTTACCTATCGCTATTAAACCGTAAATGACGAGCAAGTGCTTCTTTAGCTCTCATTGTAACAATTCAGGTCAACAAACACAACAAAGTACAATTATTATGCCGATTAAAAGAAACTTTACTCATGCAGGCAGACTTGTTCAGGAGCGCCATGTTGAATAATGGAAACGGAAGCGTCAAGCCGCGTGAAGCGTGAAGTTAGCCGCAACTTCCTCTCAATGTATTTTAAAGGCCATGTTGCCACTGGAACTGTAGTATAAGAACTAAGCAATATTACAGTTGTCAGCTGTCCACCTAGCGGTATGAGCAGACAAACTATGGGAATGTGAGGAATTTCTCCGATATTTGACTCTTAATGATTGCATTCACCAAATATATCGGGTCAAGAAAAAAACCCTGTTATGTAATGTTTTATTCAATACGTAGTCAATAAATCAGTTACAACCATGTTTTGTTGCTTTCGGGACTATTTGCAACAAATGTTTGTTTCT